TTCCTGACTATCCCTGAGGGGCTACAAAGCCTGTCAAGTTTCATTTAAATGAATGCTTGACATTAGCATATCAGCAGTAAACAAACAAAGCCGATCATGCAAAGCTGTGTGTAATCTATAGACTGAGACAATATACCCCTTTTCAAGCTATTTCAGTACAGTTTGAATCTAATGTCATCAAGCTGTCCGAAGCTGTTTACGATATCACCCCGGGAATATTACATGTACAACACTTGTGTATTTGCCTCCAAAGCATGTCCCAATATCTAAAACGTCCTCTCCAGGGATTAATGTGTTTTCTTTAGATCTCGAGGAATGCAGTAATTACGTTGGATTCATTTAACGTTTCATTGCAGCAGCTCTCGGATTTTTATCACTCAGCTGTGACAGTTTAAGGTAACTTAATCACATCTCAGCAAGAGATTTGAGAGAACTCATTTGAGGAATCGTCAATTTTCCACTGCGCTAAACCCACGGAGAATTCGCTGCCTAAGTCGACGAAGCTGTACTGCTCTTGGCTAGTTTCATTCTGTCGTTTCCAAGGTGAGAATACATGGTGCATTTTAATAAATGTCGTCTCTAATGTTTGAACAGCAACCCTTTATTATTTTTATCCGTATTGCTTTATCTTCGATTTATCTGCTTTGATGGTGACGTTAACGTCTGTCTGGTGCTGTCAGATCTGATGTATGTAGAAAAAAAGTTGACGCATTAAGGAAAGTGGCAGCACGCAAAACAGTGCGTTCGTTCTCTTTGTTTTTAAAATAATAATGCGGATTTAGTTAATTGAACACCATTTTAATGCAACTCGACACTAACTCGTCGAAGGTGAAACTCATCGAACCCTGAAAAATATCGGTGGATTTTGATGTGAGTATTAAATTTTGAGTTCTCTTTGCTGCGCAAAGCTAATTACAAGCTTTGTTAAAATTTTTAATAACGGAAAGCCTTTGTGAGCTCAACTCAATTTTGGCACTTGAAAACAAAGCTGGACCCCAACAACAAAGCCCTTGATCGGTTTCGTAGAAAATATTGACATATACTGTGCTTTTTTACAAATCGGTTATTTTTTACTGAAATTGTCCTGTGCATGGGGTATAATAAGCGATGATCTAAATAGACACCGACATTTGTTTACGATCGATTTCTCCCAGCTGTTTAAGCCATGGAATTGAAACACTTTTGAAAGTATGTGTAATTAGCTTGGCTAATTTTTTCGTAGCATATACAGGTAGACTTCGATCATTTACATTTAATGCCAAGGTGAAGAAGGCTATGCATTTGGCACATTATTGAAGCGTCTGAACTTAAGTACATTTTAACTAGTATGGTCCTTTCTTATTCTTCTTATTATTATTGTTTACTTTTTTAATGGGAATTTAGTTACCATGATATCAATGTCCTTTTAACAATAGCGAGCGGTGTTCATTACCGGAGAAATTCAGTTTACCGAAAGTTATATCTTCGTCTTAGAGATTCAAACGTAAACACCATAGAGTTATGACTCTCAGAGCAAAAAACATCTTTGTGACAAAATGTTAAAAAATATATGAATTGATTTTTTCCTGAGTTCTAAAATTGGCGACGGAATAAGATTTTGTTTAAGTGTTTGTGTAAGGTGATCTTTGATCCTGACCGCTGATAGACAGAAGCGAGCCAAAGAATTTTTCAGTGGATCATGCAATTGGCAACAATTAAGATAAGCACTCCTTCTAGCATCAGTCTAAAACTGGCTTAAGGTCTTTAAGATGTTAAGCGTGCGGTAGAGCCAGTATGAGCGGTCAAGAGGACTGTATTTACGAAATTTTTGCCTTGCGTTTTACAGCAGTACCAGCACGGAAGAAGATAAGGTTTCATTGAGCTTTCTTCAGGAATTGTAGGTATGTTGATTTTACCACTTTGGTTGACGATATGTCTCAATGCAATGGCAGTCAAATCTCGCCTTGCTGTACCCAGTGGCGGATCTAGGGGTTGGGCCCGGGGGGCCCGGGCCCCCCGTATTTTTAGACCAAACTGAGGCATCTAAAGACTGAAAAAAATTTGTTTGGAGGCCGCCCCCCCCCCCCATCTCAGGATCTGGATGCCCCCCCCCCCTTATCTGAAGGTCTGGACCCGCCACTGGTACCCCGCTATAATGGACACCCCATAATATGGACAGCAGCTAAATCCCAGGCAAAAATGAATTGCTTTTTGAGGTCCCTATAGTGCCCGCTATAAAGGGAGTTGACTGCACGTCTGCTGATAGCCAAGAAAATAACTAGTTTTCCTTCGAGGTTGGGGTAGGGGGCGGGGGGAATGGGGGCTTCGCTGTGCCATAGGGATTAAAAGAATGCAAACGATCAGACGACTTCAACTACAAGTGGAGGTAGAGGTACACTAATGAACACTAGGTGTTCATTAGGGTACCTCTAAGCAACCCGCGGATCTAGAATAAATAATGACCGTTTTCCTAAACGAGCGTCGAAGGCTAAGTTTCTACGGGGGTCCGGGGGCATGCATTCCCGTGAATTTTTTTTTAGTTTTTACTCCCTTAAGTCACCTTTCCTGGGTTTCTGAGTCAACTTTCAGTCAGGATATTGGCCATATTTTCACTTATCTATGAAAACTCTTTTCGTAGTCGTCATTTCGTCCTGTGATGTAGCGTGTCACAAAAACTCAGATCCGAAAAAGACCGAAAAAATGACGTCTGAGGGACGACTGCAGAAATTCCATACTGATAGGTATAGGTATTTATTTATTTGCCACACGATTACAATGATTACAAAAAGATGCCAAAAAAAAAAAATGTAGGAAGAAATGGCGAGGGGGCCTAAAGGAAACAACAGAGCTTATGTTAATTAGGCCTGCTCAATTACAATTTTTCGAAGATGGCATAAAAATTACGGCGACGGATACAAAATAATATCAGGTGGAAAATTAGACTAATCAATATTACGGAAGTTTACAAATATTGAATATTAAAAGGCTTTTTCCCAAGATTTTTGTTGGAGTATACTAATAATTATTACAAATAAATGCCTTAAGTGCTCTTTTAAAGGAAAAGGGTGAGGAAGCGTTGATGATGTTGGTGTTTAAGGTGTTGTAAAATTTAGGTCCTTGATAAAAAACGGAAAATTGTTTGGTTCGAGTACGACAGAAAGGCAGACGAAATTTACACGAGTTTCTTGCATTATACGAATAAATTTTGACTTAGTAAGGTAAATTTACAATGAAATTTTGAAGGTAGAGTATGGTTTTGATAGGAGTACATGAATAAGCCTAGTTGTATTAAGTATATATCATGAAATTTTAAGATACTGATGACGCGTTCACTACCCAGATCTGGGTAGTGCTTCTGATTGGTCGTGTCGTAGGGGAAATGTGCTTTAACCAATCAGAAGCACAACCCAGATCTGGGTAGTGACGCTTCCTCAGACATCATTTCGCGGGGAAATCAGTGATGATGCGCGAAATGTCAGCTGTAATTTTTAGGCTACTGGGGCCATGTGATAGGGTATCTAGCCGAGAAATGTCAGGAAATATATTTCTGCCAGTTTTAGTACACCAGAATTAGCTCCTCTAACTTAAAAATTAAAAATGAATTCCAGACACACCTGCTTTCAGTTGTATTATCGAAATTTTCCGACAACTTCTTCTGATTTTTATAAGCAATATTATTCTACCACCGCTAAGTAGGCAGCTTTAGACACAATAGATATGACGCAAAAAAATTATCGCTCAGGAAACATTTATCGAAAGTCATCCCCTGATAAAAAAGATAAGAATGGTTAAAGTCTTTAAAATTTCCCATTTTAGATAGGTACTTAACTTTGTTCAGTTATCAAACCCACGGGGGCACTTACTTGGCACCTTTCTTTCCGTCAGTCGACATTCTACATTTTTTGAACTTATTTTACTGATATTTTATTTTTATTATATAATTCTGACAGTTTTAGTAATTTGTTACACCGGAACTGGCTCCTCTAACTTAAATAAAAATGAATTTGAGACACACCTGCTTTCAGTTGTATTATCGAAATTTTCTGACAACTCCTTCTGATTTTTATAAGCAGGGACACAATAGATATGACGCAAAAAGTGTATCGCTCAGGAAACAAATTGAAAGTTATCCCCTGATAAAACAGATAAGAATGGTTAAAATCTTTAAAATTTCTCACTTTAGATAGGCACCTACCTTTTTTTAGTTATCAAAACCACGGGGGCATATTCTTTCCATCAATCGACATTCTACATTTTTTTGAACATATTTTACTGATACGGTGATGGTTATGATGTTTTGTTGGCCATGATTAAATACGAATGATGGCAACATATTGCTTATGACCTTATCGGATTCTTTAACCCTTTAAGCCCTAAGAGTGATCAGCATGAAATTTCTCCTTATTATATCAATGTTTCAGAAAACAGAGTGGTCATGAGAATTGGGTACATGATCAGGGAAGAAGAGTCTAACTGATATTTCAACGAATTCTCCCCTCTACGTCTGTTGAAAAAGTACAGGGACAGTAAATGAGAATCCCAATTTTGATATTATGGTTTAAAGGGTTAAACAAAATCATATCACAGAAAACTTGAACTTCTCAGGTGGTGATAAAATACAGTCGAATCCCGGTAACTCGAACACTCTATAACTCGAACCTCCCGCTTACTCGAAGCAATTTAGATTTCCCTTCAGATCTCTTTCTATTTAATTTTACCCTCGATAACTCGAACTCCCGGTAACTCGAACTATTTTCTCTTTCCCTTGAAGGTTCGAATTATCGGGAGTCGACTGTAACAGTATTTTATCAATATTTTCAGAAACACGTTTTCAATTTAGGTGTGGTGTGTATAAGGTGTGTCGCGAAATCTCTTATTTCCGGACGTTTTAGCCAAACACAGTGCTCCTCTAGTGATCAATTGCCAGCAAAACTACTTATTTTATCATCCGCCTTTATGAGAAGCCTGGCTGCTTGTGAGCAGTTTTCAGTTGTATTTTGCTCCTCTCAGTCTTTCTCGTAACAATTAGTGCCATACTTACATTTGCCATAGTTAAACAACATTAATGGATGTTGGGAATATTTTTAATCAATCAATAACCTGAATCGACCAAGATAACTTGTTTCTTGTACACACAGGAAGTCTATACACTTCTATACACTTCACTAATCACCGTGTGTGGATGAAGATTAGATACTATGAAATTAATAATAAATATATTAATAAGAAAAAAACAGAAATAAAAACACTTTCGCTGATAAAGCAACATTTTTAAGTCTTTTTGACAACAATTTACCTAATGGTCCGCCATGATAGGACATCAAAAGTTCAATGTAGTTTCATTAACATAAACTATGTAATAAAATATTAAAAAGCGAAAGCATAATTGTGCTACAGCATAATTGCCGAAATCTTTGCTATTGTCTTCGAATCTTTTAAAAAGATATCGTTTCGAAACCTAATCTAAGAGAGTCATACTATTACCATTAAGGGATGAAAATCCCATTGCGTTGGTCGCCTTTTAGAGGGAACTTTATAACAAACCCTTATAATGACATGGAACATTTCGCACTTATTACTAGCCATGATGGCGCTTTAAATGATCAGCGATTCAAAAAAAAAATGTATTATTACGACACATGCAAATGTCATTTGGCCTTTTAGCGCTCAGAATGAATTAATTCTGAATTTTTAGTTGTCAATGTATTCATGCGGAAAATTCCTGAGTTTACCATGTTGACTTCTACATCAACTCGTTTCTTTTTGATGCAGGTATAATGTCGTTTAAATTCAATAAGAAAGCCTTAGTAACAGGTCTGAGCTGTGTGGAAGCAGATAAACGTATAGTTTACGCTCAAACGATCAAGAGAATATCATCACAGAATGCAGTTTTGGTGGACGGAAATATTTTTTGCGTCGACATTGGAGCAGCTGCTTTAAAGAAACAACCGAAAACAGAAAAAGGCTGGTTACCTGAAGAAGTGGAAAATGCAGGCATAATTCCCGGCACGATAATTACAGTAAACAGCAAAGAGCGATATGTTAAAACCGAGGTTTGTACATTTATAAACTTCAGCATTTCAGTTACTAAACCACAAAACCAAAATAAAGTAAAATTAACTGGCTTCCAATTGAAGGTAATTCACAATTTTGACATGTTGCTATTTTTCATTTGTTTTATGTAAATCATATTTTAATTTCTTCCTTTTTATATCAACAATTTACATACATTTAGTGCTGCAATTTTTTTTAGGATGAAATAAGCAGTTAAATAAGAAATGCGAAAGGTTGTTTTTTCTCAAATTTTACATCCGTTTTTGTTTTTATTCTATTTTTTTGCTTTGAATTTTTTCATAGGATATTACTGACACAGGAAGCGGAAAACGGGAAACGAGAAATTGAAATATGGGAACAAAACCGAATTTTAACCCTAGCCCTTTTTACGCACCATAAATAGTTTATTCCAGCACTTTATGGCACCTTTAAGTAATTTTTAAATGCTTTTAAAAACTTTTTGTCTCTCTTCATTTACATACATTTAGTGCTGCAACTTTTAAGGATTAAATAGGCAGTGAAATAAGAAGTGCGAGAGGTTATTTTTTTTTTCAAATTTTACACCCGTTTTTGTTTTTATTCTATTTTTTTGCTTTGAATTTTGTAATAGGAAGTTACTGACACAGGAAACGGAAAAGGGAAAACGGGAAACGAGAAATTGAAATATGGGAATAAAACCTAATTTTAACCCTAGCCGTTTTTACGCACCATAAATAATTTATTCCAGCACTTTATTGGCGCCTTTAATTTTTTAGAATGATTTTAAAAACTTTTTGTCTCTCGCCAGCAAGAGGTGGTTGATCACTTGAAGCTGCTCAAGTTGCAGGCGTTCCAGCTATTTTGTCCCGCGTTAGAGACTGCATCAGAGAACAATCTCTCAGAGAGCGCATACCCGAGCGCCTTTATTGACCAGACACGGCGCCTTTGCTGCGCGACTCAACCGACTCCAAACTTACGTTGGGTGCTGTGTAAAAACGTATCACTGATCTACAATAAAACTAAGGGACAAGCAGAAGCCACAGTTGTCGCTGTCGACATTATTAAATTGGAACAGTCCGGGAGATTAGTCACAACTTCCATTCAACAAACTGTAACTGCAAAAGTAAATTGCCAAGCTTTTCTGTGCAAGGTTGGGCCTCACAATCCTGGTCCTATATGTTTTAGCCCGGCTATCGCTCTAGTAAAGATGGGGGATAAGGATGTCCCTCCACCACAGCCTCGATCATGGGCAGAGATCGAAACTCTACTTGTTTGTTAATTAATACAAAATCTTTCCGTCAAATGTACACAGCGCTTCCCTGCCCAACTTCCATGGATGATTCACTCTGTCACACAGACGCTGTCTCCACTGCGTTTCGACTGGAAGAACAATGTTGCTATTTTTCGACGATTCCTGGCACACGTTTTTATTAACGTCGTGCAGAGAATGATGCAGTCTTCACTAGATTGTATCAGGGTTTAAAAACATTACAGAGATTCCACCAGGAAATATTTGGGGCCGTTTATTTCGATTTGAGCATTTAGGTTCTCCGCACATTGCTGTATTAGGTGCAGTACATTTTTATTTGTACGTAAATCGTTTAATGAATTAATACATGAATCAATAAACTTATATAAATCAATCAGGTGGAGATATTGAACGCAAAACAAATACGGTGCAATGTGTTTTTAACTGACCATCAATATCAGAGCAAACCCCTGCCTTATTTTTTATAGAGTGTTTTCACATGACGTCACGGCGGCCATATTGGTGTCCCAAAACAATGAAACGGCGGCCATGTCGGTGTCCGAAACCAGTCCTGTCGGAGTTGAATTCTTTCTTTGCAAACGCTTTCTTTTGTTCCAATAAATTTGCATAGATGCTGGCCACGTGAGTGAAAACACTCTATATTCTTGTTATAAACATAAAAGGACTTAATCGTTCTCTCTTGATTTAAACTATTAAAAATATTGGCATGTTAATAACATAAGCATACAGAATAATTATTTTTTAGGCTGGAACTGAGGAAGTATCCACAGGCATAACCGGGCTGATTAGGGATTGCTGCAAGACATCACCAATAGACCTCTTTCACGATAGGTTGTGACTAGAATGGCTACACCAAAGTCAGATTGTTATCTTAACTCAAAATACATGATAGGAGTCTTATACCTTTAAGTAGGAAATAAGAGAAGAAAGAAAACAGAAGAAAACAGTAGGGGGTATGTTGGACTTGAACCCGCGTCATTTGATGTGTTATACATATGCGTATCCACTACACCACCAAGGGCTAACCGCCAACCTTGGTTAATTTTAAGGTACATTACATGGCGTTGATCATTACGTCATTCAAAGCTAACCGTCTTTAAAACAGTGCTTCACCCTAATCATTGTACTTTAGTGCTAAACCCTGTATTCAACTATTTTCCTTGCACAACTGTCTCTTACTATGATTTTCCCACTTTTCTAAAAGTTCTCGTGCTCTGCCAATTCACCTAAATGTAGTATAGCGTGGTGTAGAGTATAGTGTTGTGTAATAAACATAAGGTGTCCAACCTGATATTAAGGTATTCATTCTAGTCACAACCATTCACGATACCGGCCAGTTGCACGCCCTTAAGACTGATGGGATAAAAGCAATGTCACGTGGTTTTTCAGAGTGATAAAATTTGCCAATGCAAGAAATCGCGGTCCAGTTTGTTTACTCACCCTTTAAGACCGAATCGTACAAATTTGTACGATCTGATATGGTCCACAGTCATTTGACCAGCAGTTTCCTCAAACTTAGTTTCCAGACCCCCCTTCTTTGCAACGCCTAGTGCATTGTTTTGTTCGCCATTTTGAGTTATTTTGAACCAGTTTCTGCGACATTTTCGATTTGTTAGAGGAAGAGTAAGCTTAATTTTAGTTCTGCAACATGTCTGAGCATAGGACACGTTATAAATTGAAAGATTTTTTAATTATTTTGGATGGAAACTTCGTGGTACCCGATCGTGGCGTGTTTCGGATATCGGAGGCTTTGATATGAACACCGAAGAAGATAGCAAGGATGGAGTAATGAAATTTTTTCAAACCAGGGAGAAGAAGAAGAGGAAAAACTCAGTATTCGGGACATACACATTGATGATTTCAACAGTGATTAAGATTTTTTTCATCCTGGAAGGCCACAAAACATTTGTTTCGATGTTTATGTTTAGCTCCTGGAAGAAAGCGATCGAGAAGTTCTCACTTTCAATTAATAAGATTGGGCCTACGAAGGTGTAACACCCAACCATGCTGTATTTTGTGGACAGAATATAACCTTGATAGTATCAAAGGCAGGCAAATGTGGTATGAAAATAATCTTCGGTAAATTTGCTTTAGATTTAGACTCCAGTAGTAATTTTCATGACCAAATTGGAAGGTCACTACACTGAAAACAATTGAGGTGAACTTGTTGTGTGACATGAACTTAATATTGAACAACCTGTTAATTATTATTTATTAGTTACTTATCAATAAAAAGTGGCTTGGCAGATAGCCCAAAATCTTGTCTACCAGATATCCAAAGTTTATGTTGATACCATAAATTTCAAGGAAGATTCAGTGCATTTAACAATACCAGCCTTAGATCTTAAAATGTGCAAAAAATAAATTCAGGTCTTAAAGGATTACTCTAGACAACAGGAAGTGAAGGACTTTTTATCTCAAAAAAATAACGGTAAATTATGGGTGGAAATGATCATTGCTACCGTTTTAGATGCAATAGCGACTGTAAATGTCCTCACAGCAAGTAATAATGACGTAAAACCTGTCGAAACTCGAACTGTTCCTCATTTTGCATGACTATTAAATCGTCGTTGTGTTTTGAGAGAATCAAGAAACTCGACCTCGATTTCTCGTACTGCCATTTTTTCTCTTTTGTGTTTCCCCTGAAATACCACGTGACATTTCTTATATCCCAACAACCCTAAGGCGCGTGCAAAGATGACAGGTATCGTCAATACGGTCTATCAAAAAAAAAAACACACAAAAAAAGGAAAAATCAAACAAATAAAAAATCACACACACTCCTGAATTCAACATTTGTTAGAGAATCAGGGTGATGATGATAGGGGTAAAAAAATCGTATAGTGAAACCTCTCTCTGCCTTTGTCTCTACTCAGTTGGAGGACACAATTTCTGCAATTATCAAAAGAGCCTTAATCTCTAGGTGAAAAAATGCATCCCCTTGAGACTGTTTCGTTTTTTGTCCAATCGCTCCCTGCTAGCAGAGGCCAATGCCTGGGAAACGAGGCCTGTGACAGCAGGGAAGTCCAATCTGTGACACAGGCGAATCAAACAAATTAAATTCGACTTTTCCCAATCGGAGTTGAACCTATAACGTTCTATGTATAGGTGCAGACCTCAGTTGTTTAAAAGGTGGGTAGCGCTAACCAGTGGATAAATCTCAGCCCAGTGGACTAAAACACGCGATTGGTTTCCCTAATAATTGTCGGGATAGCGCTATCCATAGCGCTTTCCACCTGTAGAACAACTGGGACGAGATGCTTTACTACTAAACAAAACGAGACTCGTTTGAGCAAATACCATTACGTGGGTCACATTAGTGCTCAGCGAGTTCCGAACTCGGGCACCAAGTGTGGACGCTGCCCAACACTAAGGAGTCTCCTTTTTACAATAACTGAGCGAATCCTCGCGCGCTGATTGGGAGCTATGGTCCATGAGAGCATAGACCATGGAAATGACGTAACATGTCAGGCAGTGCCGGTTGGTTTGCTTAGTATGGTTTTTCGTCAAAAAAAAAAATGTTATTGTAAAAAACAAATAGACCACAATTTTCCATAGTCTTCACTCTTATAGACCATTGAAATGACACCATAAAATGTTCAAAACTTTGCAGTGAAACCACTCGCCCGCGGCTCGTAGTTCATTTGAGTTTTAAACATTTTATGACGTCATTTCTATGGTCTATAAGAGTGCAGATCATGGAAAATTGTGGTCTATTTGTTAAGTACCTCAGTGAAAGGAGTATCTGGACTAGTAACCAGGGCCCGGTTGTTGAAAAGATGGATAACGCTATTCATCGGATAAATCACTATCCAACGGATAAGTATTAGGGAAACCAATTGCGCTATTCAGTGGATAGTGATTTATTCGGGGAATAGCCCTATCCATCTTTTGAACAACTGGGGCAAGAGGTCCAGCTGGAAGAACTCGCATATTTTTCCGCGATTCACCTGTGTCGCTGACTGCGTAGTGCTCCTGATCACGGGATCGTATCTATACACATAACGGTTGATTTCCAGTGTCGCGTAATTTTACGTGCGTACTTGCGTAAAATTTACGTTCGCAAATAAAATAGAGGCAATGCATGAAAGGTCGCTCGTAAGCGTGAAAGTTGACCTCGCTCAACTTCAAGTTTAAGCTCAGCACGTGTTATCTTACCTCTGTTTTATAAAATTTACGTGCGTTAATGTGCGTAGCCAAAAACGCGTCATTGGAAATCAACCTTAAGTTCGAAAAACAGCTTTTCACGTTTACGACGTATTTAGAACAAGTAACCACGACGGCCACACCAGCGAAGAAAGGCTCAAAAACAATAATATCATTGTTGCGACGGTTTTAAAACTTTTAAGTCTCTCCAGGAACTCACCTTCAACTAAATTTGATGCTTAACCATGATAACGTTTTAACAACAAAAGAAAAACTTTATAAACTTTAAATTTTCAAAAAAAAAAAAGGAGGTAGGGCGTTACCGTCGTACTTACCTGATGCCTAAAGAAATCCATTGTTATAAGTTCTGATTTTACAACGCAAAGATTAGAGACTAGCTAAAATATACTCCTCCAACTGGCGTCAAAATTAGTTGAGAGCCGTCGCCATCATGGGCATTCCTTACGCTTTGCCAACAATATCTACTTAAAAATAGAAAAACGAAGCTTTTCCTCTCCCACCCCCTGTAAACAATGTTGTCTCCTTGTTCAAGCTACCTGAACGAAACGAAAAAATCCCAACTTTAGATGAAAGGGTTCGGATGGTTCTTATTGTTTTCTTCTCCATAATATTAATAACCCATTTGACGACAGTATCCCAACAAATTTTACGTCGATTGTTGGTCCACTTACGCTGGAATCGTAATTGAATCTACACGTGAGTTCAGCATACTGACGGATGTTTTTCCTTCTTTTGCACTTACTGTCTGAACGTCCCTTGCGTTGTAATGTCATTTCCGCATTAGAAAATTAAGTCCGTCGTGACTGATCGGGACGATCGCTCTCGTTTTTCTTTAAACTTCAAAACGCATAAGCCATCTCAAATCATAAACCAGAGTGATTAGTCTTTACTAACCGTTCAATCGTCAAACTGAAGGCGTCTCAGTTCGTCAGGGTCGTAATTATGCAAATTTGTTTGATTTGACCAAGCAGGATACAAAGCTCCATCCATTTCAGTTGCAACCTAAGTAGAAGTGTCATAAAAGAAAAATAAGCATGCCGCAAAGTGAAGACAGTAAGAGAGCATAACTGAGAAGACTTTCTGGCAAATCAGTGACTTCCAGCCATGTCCACATGCTAGAGGCACTAGGTTCCTCGTTTCTACGCCGTAAAGCAAAAAGCTGCAAACGCAAGTCAACTAAGCACCCATCTAGCTACCAAAGACCGCGTTACCCTTTTCCAGCACTACGGTGAAGCGTTACGCGGTCTCGATCCACGAAATAAACCAGCATGCTGATAAGTCAACAAGCGGGAAAACGGGCAAACCTTGGATTTGATTTTAAAGGGTCACAGAAACCATAAAAATTTAGGGAACCGTTTTTCAAGAATACAACATAATCACTTAGACATGTCTTTGATATCACGACGAAACTTCGGCGCCCCGATAATTTTCCTAAGTCAAAGTCACTAAACTCAATGAAGTACCCGCATAAAGCCTGATAAAGGGGGATGAAATAGCTCCTGCTGCTATTGTCTAGCGGGTGACATCATGGTATCTGAGTGACTGACTTCTGCGTCAATTCTTATCATTTTGGTTGCTTACTTTCCTTGTGAGGGTGTATTGTTTAGATCAAGAGAGAATGCGCTAGCTTATTTTCTCTTGGTTTAGATCCATTGCACTTTAACTAACGTTAAAGACGAAGCGTGAAATCAGCTTATCTTTAAGATACTATACTTCCAGTAGATCGACTAGATGGGTGGTCGAACCAAGGGTTAAGGTGGCTCGATAGGGTTTTTCAGCGTCAGTTCCTCCCAAGTTTGTGCATAAACTACGTCGCCATTAACAAAGATTTGGAAAATTACCACCACCGCTGTACTAGATAAAGATAAAAACTTGTCACGATCAGGGTTACAATGACATCGGAGTTGTCATAGCAACGAAATGACCCCATTACTTATTTTACTTAGAGCCGTATTTCACGGAACTGGGAACAGTTCTTTCAAAATCGTTCACGGTAGCTTTTTCCTCCAATACCCGCCTCGATGTTCGTGAAGTTTAAGGGAAATCTGTAAGATCCTTATCGAGGTATTTTGGGATGAAGTTTTTATGGTAACAAATACGCTAAGAACTGGACAATCTTGATGTCCAGTCGCTATCTGTAGAAAATGCGCTTTAGAAATGCAATTTTACGTTGTACTAGTTTCAATCTTTTTAAAAACTTGTGTGAAAAATCATGAAGATAGCTCAAGTCGATTGCTAGAAAGAAGGATTTGATTACCATGTATCGAGTCGCTCTTGTTAGTGGTTTTGTAATTATTTCTGTCTACTTTAACAGATAAGCGAATAATTTTGAAACCGCGGGATAGATATTTAAAAATTTGAGATTTTCGAGATTAAGCGTCCAGTTTTATAAGAACTGTGAGTTTGAAGATTATTGATATGTTGTAAGGTAGTAAAATAAGGGTTACAAAACGCTAAAGTTTTATCGGAAATTTCTTGTCTACAAGTGAGAGCCTCTCTTTTCGTGGAAAACAATAGCTAACATTTCTGCATATTTTAAATGCATTGTTAGCTACTGCTGTTCACGAGAAAATGAAACTTTGAACTCTACTCTACCTCATTTCCTTGGGCCAAAGTGTGATTGGTTCCACCAATTATTACATTGCATTCTGGGCACTTTCTTTCTTCCATGGCTCCACCGCATTCGCCAATTGCGTAGATGTGACCACTGGGACACTTGTACCAATGCCCTTGGGAAAAATTCATCGCCTTCACTATCATTATTCTCTCTTCTGTCGTCAGACCTTCCAAACCACACTCCTTTCGGATCCCGTTAATCTTAGCAGCTATGGCTTCTACGTCTTCATCACTGAGTCTTGTTCCCGCATTCAGCTGCTTTCCTTGGATTTCCAACCACTTTTTTTTGACAAAACCGAGAACAATAGAACGCTTTTCGGCCTCACACTGAACCACCCGAATCTTCAGAAGAAGGCTGGCACAGATGACTTCATCTCTGATATCAGTAAGTCTCTGAGAGGAGATTTGAAATTTCATGAGCTCCACTTCCAGATGATTGAGCTTTCCGTCAACTTCTGTTGCTCCTTGGAGAAACTTTTGCTCAAGAACATTCTGACAAGCACTGGGTGGGTTTAGCACCCCGTAGGTTGTATTCTGCAGCAGGTCAGTTTTCACCTTTTCTCGTACCTTGTATATTTGTTTCAATATCTTCATCTGGTTTTTAATTGTGGTAAGCTCCGCCATGGTTTTTCTCTGCTGCAGCCAGCATTCTAGCGTCTCGTAAGCACTTTTGCCATCGTGCGCTTGTTCTTCACTTTCTTCAGAAAACACCCTCTTGCGTGCAATATCGGGATATTTTCTCATGAGGCGCCTTCTTTTACTCTCCAAATTTTGCTTGAAACTCTGAAATTTTCTTTCATCTTTAATAAGTCGCTTCTTTACCTCTTCAACTTCAGCAAGCTTTACTTTGACAATGTCAGCATACCGGTAGCTTATCCTGATGGGCGTCTTACATTTGGGGCATTCCTTTAACTTGATGTCTTCGTTTTCACCATCTTTATCCATCCAGTAGTCCAGTGCAGTGACCTCGAACACGTGACCACAGTCTAGCAGCTCAATAAATCTTGCATCCTCGTCGTCTTCGGTGCCAAAAAAGAGGTCTGTAACTTTTTCTTTATGGCAAATTCCACACAGCTTGGGACAAGGCTCCCCACACAGCCCGATACATGGGTGGTTGTAAGGGCATGCGACCCTTCTTTTACGACATGGTTCATTGCATCGTTCACGGTTACACTTCTCACCACAAAGCTTTGTGCATTGCTTATGCTGGCAGCTCCAGGAACACGGTTCCTATGGAAGAAGACAAATTGGTTGTCAAGACAACTCATAAATAATCAATGACAGCTAGAAAGCGTATACCTTCTCCTAGCTTTAGGTCATGTGATTCCACAGAACACGTGGAGGACGGGGGAAAGAGGCCATAAAAACAGATGTCGGTTTTGACTACGTACGTCGCATGATTCAAGCCTAGTTCAAGCCCAGTAAAATAAGATAATGTTTCGTTTATCATACTAACCCTACAAGGTGAGCATAAATCCATGCAGGTTTTTGGGCATCTACTATGACAGCATCGGTTTTCACACTTCTTTGGACAGGGTGGGCAATTCTTTGTGCAAGGCTCCTCGCAGAGGTGAAGACATACCCTCCTTCTTTCACAGTCCGCTTGGCAGGGAACGTGCATTCTTCCTTGCTGGCAATCACTGCAATTACCAACGCAAGGGTGTTCACATTCCAGAGTTGCTCGACAAGGCTCCTCGCAACGGTAACCGCCTTCCGATAGCTGATAACAGGGCTTTTCAATTTCATGCCCGCATTCAAACTGCCTTTTAACTATATTTTTACACTCGAAAGACGAGCATTCTTCCCAGCATTTTCCTGGACAAAGGTGACCGCAAATCAGGAACTTGAAACATTTTATCTGACACTTAAACGTCTCCGCCGGCGTTCCACATGGAACAAGTTGCTGGTGTCCACATTTTGGGATCTGTTTCTTAACCTCGACAGGGCATCCAGCACAATCCTCACCAAAATGACACTTTCTTTCGCATTTGCTTTGGTGCTCGGAACAAAGTTCAGAACGACAATACTTCTGGCACTTGTACAGCGCATGATCACTGTCGTCAGGATGACAAACCCGTTCGCACACGTGACCACAAGGAAGCCGAAAACTGCACTGCAGGATACAACCGCCTTCGGGAGCTTTCTTAAAGTCGTCTGCACATTTGGCATGGATAACTCTGTCTGGATGGTTTTTACAAACCAATTTCAAAGACTCTCCTATGGTTCCCTGTTTTTTCATGTCTTTGACAATGTCCTTCCATAATTCGCTTTTTTCAGCTAACATAGCAAAGTTTCCGATGCAATAAAGACCATGGCGTGCACGCGACAAAGCAACGCAGACACGATTCTTCACTGCCAGAAAACCGATATTCTTTTGCTTGTTACATCTTACAAGAGAGAGCAAAATTATATCGTTCTCTTCACCTTGAAAGTTGTCTACAGCAGTGACTCTGACACCTTCAAATCTGATCTTAGGCATAGTCCTCTTCAGGGCCAAAACTTGACCAGAGTACATCGTCAACACCGTAATCTGATTACGCTCATACCCTTGCAAAAGGAAATACTCACACAGCGCTGCAATGTATTCTGCTTCGTGTTGATTTGAATGACTCTTAATCTTCTCATTCATTTCACTTTCATCTTCGGGTATCCGATGATCGATAAAAAAGAGGTTTTTAGAGACACCTCTGACATCTTCGTGTTTATGAACAGATTGATGGTCTTGAAGATCTTCGTAGATAAATCTCATGAGCCTTGCGATCTCGGGTCTCATCCTGTGCTGAGTGGTCAATTGATGACATCGCATTCCACTGTTAACCATTCTCTCAAACAACGACACATCGAGGTTGTATTCCCTTGCCAGACTGTACACAGTCGGATTTGGCCTCAGTTGCTTGTGATCCCCAATGAGAATCAAATGTTGTGTTCCCTTAGTCAGCGATGTTATGATGTGGGCCTCAAGGACTTCAGCTGCTTCTTCAACAATGACGACAGTTGGTTTGATTGTTTCAAGCAGATTTCTGTATTTAGCTGCACCAGTTGTGGTCATGCCTATCACAACAGCCTCTTTCAGCGCGTGGAGCTCTTCGAGTCCTCGAACCTCTGTAAACCGCTTACAGATGCTTTCATATTCTTGACTTTTTCTTGATATCTCATCTCGGCAATTAGCCTGGAAAAGTCGAAGCCAAAACAGATATAGTTTCCAACGGTCCGCTGGCTTAAGGCCCCAAACGTTCTGTACTGCAGCAACTTGAAATGGAAGCATGGGTTGAAGCGTAGATTCCCCTCTCAGAACTTTGAGATGATCTTTTGAAAGACCGGAGGGCTGCTTTATTTCTGCCTTGGTTGAATTTGATGCCACGATTGTCTCATACTGGTTCTCACCCAACAAACGTCGACTTTGAATGATGTCAGCGTCTTTGTCGACATCGATCCCATCTTCAGTCTCCCCATTAGGGTCAACATTGGTATCATTTTCATTTAATGATGATTCTGTGGGTACGCTCTCGTTGGGAGAACCAGCCTGTAAAACGTCTGTAGCTCCATTTTCGTTGGAAGGACTAACAAAGCTGGAAGTCTTTAAACCAAGCCAACTTTTCACAACCGATTTCCCTTGAGCACCAAAACGGCATTCTTCCATCCTTAGCTGATCCAAGTGTATTCTTCCTGTAAAGTGGACCAGGTCTTTCAGGGTCAGGATGGTCTCTCTACTACGCACTAGTCTTCCACTTGCTCTCCCGATGGCGTCTTGACATTTCATCATTTCCACTTTCACTCGACGCTTATTTTCTGAGAAAGTTGTGTATTCCTGTAGATTGTATGGTTGAAGAATTTCTGAAGAGCTTCTTCCTCCAACTCTTATTACACCTGTTTGCTGAAATTTCAGCACTCCTTCCAGAAACTGATCCAGTGCGTGGTTGGTATAGCAAACCATCAGCATGGCTGATTTTTGTTCGGCATCCCATTCGTGCCTGTTGTCAAGAAGAGCTCTTACGATCTTTAACCCAACGTACGTTTTACCTGGAAAGAAAAAAGGAGGACGTAAGACCAATAAGACAGGGTGAAGGTCGTGATATTTGTTACGTCAAGGGCTTGGAAAAAAGAAAACACTGAGTCCCCAAAACGTTCAAAGCCAAGACCTCGCACAATACCAGTCAGCTGGTCTAACTACTGAGCTACAGATAGACTCAGGCTGAGCTGGAGCATCTAATTGGTTCAAAACTGGTGTTAGCGAACGATGTTTGGGTATCGGCCAATCACGGCATGCAATTTAACGCACAACCAAAGAATGAAAAAAGAGCTCTTATCTCAAGGACATAAGGGGGGTTTTGACTTGAAATCATAGGTCATATTCTCGTGGTAGTGGTAGGTATGTTGTTTCACGGCTTGTGCAAAACCGTGGTAGATTACTAAAATTATGCCAGGTAGTGTGGTAAAACAGATGACTGAAAAATGTTGAGTGAATCCTACCTGTCCCGGGAGGACCTTGTATTACGGAAAACTCTTTGGTAAGAGCATCTTTCAGTGCCTGAAGCTGTGACTCGTTTAGGTCAACTTCATCACCTTTTGGCCACGATTGCGGATCACAAATGGACACTACCCCTCCACCACGCCCATCTTGAAACTTAAGGATCTCCTCAAGGTCATATCTTACTTGGCGTTCCAATATTCCAATTCTTAGATACTGGGGAGATTTCACATTAGAATTGCAATGGACCAGGTACTCTTGGAATGGAAAATTATCAGGAGTGATATTCTTCAGTTGTTCCAAAACGGGCCGATACGACTCGAAATACGCTGGCGACTCAACCATAACATATTTGTCGCGCTGTTTTTGATTTTCTTCAAGACCGTGGACAAATCGAATATCTAGCCTTCCCAACTTTAAATCTTCCGCCTTGCGGTTGGCTACCGTCGCAAATAACATAGTTTTAAAGTTGTCCTTTGACAAGCAAAGGAATGACCCAAACAGTAAACGCTTGGAATGCTCCCATGGAATCCTTCTGAGGTTTCTCATATCAAGGCGAATGGAATGCACGATCCCAGCTCTCGTACAAACCGTGTCCATGATCTCAACATTCTCGTAAATGTATAAGTTTTGAGAACGTTTTTCCTTTGGAGTATTTTTTGTTATCTCCCTGATTCCATCTCTGAGTGGGGAGACAAAATCTTCGCGAAGTAGGCGGAACTGGACATCCAAATAATCGTTGAGATCTTTGTACGCCTCGCTCTTTTCGGTCTTATTTCGTCGCAGAAAAGGCTTCTCCTCAGAGCGAATTTCCTTCTCATTCGGATAAATGGACATTTCTCTGAAGTCATCCGGTGGAGCCTGCTCAACCTCTCTTCTTTTATTCGGCTTTGGTCCTTTGTTAGCCTGTGCTTCTCGTCTTTCTTCTACCATTAGTTCCCGTCTTCTTGCCAAAAGCATTTCAACTTCTTTCCTAAATTTTTCAACTTCCTTCACATCAATTTCTTTTAAGCTTCCACCAAGATGGTCTATAGGAACTTCAGACAATAATCGAGGAAAACGATTCAGCCATTCCTTAAAGAAAGCTACCAGGCATTCCAGGATTGAAGTGAACTGAGATTCAGACTCTTCCTCTTGAATCATTGGAAGATTTAAAATGTATTTTGGCAAATGGGTGCGCATGAAGGCTGAGCCCTTACATATCGACATCACCTCAATTAAGTTCTGCGTCATCTGGGTTTCACACATCTTGCCTAGGATTTCTATAAGGAGTGTCATCCAGTCCTCCTTTATATCGTCGGAACTCACGAGCATTTTAAAGCTTTCGCGGTATTGAAGCAACCTAACAGCAATCTCAGAAGGTTCGGTAGATTTTAGCTCTTGTAGTTTTCGATAGCCAAGATAAGGGCCTCTTTTTTCACTTCTTTGCTGCCTTTCGTGGTACTCCCCTCCCTGGTAGGTACCTTCAAGAAAATATAAGCAAAGGTTTATTAACCACAAGATATAAGCACGTTTATTGTGAGGTGTTTCCCAAGAAATTTATCTGTTGTTTTTTGATTTGCTGTTCTTTTGAATTCGCGGATTTGTTAAAACTGCGTTCGTATGCCTTACAGCTGTACAATTTCAGTTTTCAAGACCAGTAAATTTTAAAGGGATCTCCTTATTTGGTTGGTCACAAAAGTGCAACAAATATGACAGCAAGATTGTGCATGCAAAGCCAGACGCAGAGGTATTTTTGGTTACGCTTCTCGTGGTCCAAACACTGGAAACCCATCTGGGTTCTCAGGTTAGGGCAGGGCGCTCCGATCATGTTGTTTTTAAACGGAAATGGGTGCTAATGCGAACTTTCTTTCTTTGTTGAAAGACTATTTTTGGAGATCGTAAATGCTGCTCAGGAAAGTGGACAAGACAAAGCTACGAGAAGAGAAATTAAAAGCGACGATTTTTAACTAATATTTCAACTGTTTGATGATTTCATGATAGCAATACTAATTGATGTTAGCCTAATAATCTAAACACCCAATGATGCATAATTCCATTGAAGATGTTCGAAAAGAAAGTGATTTCTTAAAATAGTACTGAGAAAATTAATTGATTAATTATTTATTTACCTAGGTTTGCCATTCTGGGCAGGGTCACCTAAAACAACGCGTGGCGCCACTACGCGGGCCCTTAACGGTCCCTTCTCCCCATGAGAGATATCTAACCATATCGGGGACGTCCCCTACTCTTTACCGATGTGGGTTCTTTAACGCCCCACACAGAGTTGTGAGACGGCGCCTTCAGTTTATCGTCCTTGGCGAGAAGACTAGAAAGTCTAACCGCTTGTAGATGTCACAACAGAGGGAGCACTTTCTCCTCAGTTATTTAAAGATCCTGAGTGTTGGTCCGGCTGAGGTTTAAGCCAATGGCCTCGTGCTAGACAGACCGGCACTTTTCCAATTGAACTAACTGGGTGGCGGTTTTTTCCGTGAACTGGTTACATTTTTTTCACGTGCGAACCGTCCAACAGTGATTCTCGCGTTCTAACTGCGTGATGACAGCGTAGTTAGTAGAGGAGGCTAGTTATGAAAGCCGGCAAACGTCAAAGTTGAAAACAACGGTGCTGCAATTTATGTTGGAAGTTCCCTGACCGTGCAGGAAACGCGAGAGCCATGGACGGGGAAAGAACGGGAGAGCTCTCCTTTTCTCCGCCCCTCGCTCGCGCTCAAGATAATCCGTTTCTTATTAAAACCTCATAAAAATACCTACGTTATAGAAACACTCGTTTTTTCCCCATACAGATCCTTTTAAGGCAAAGAGAAGTGAATCTCTATCGATGATTATATATTCAGTTGTGTGACCAAGTATACGCTTCTAAAGCGTTTTTTTAATAAAATTTATCACACTTTGTCACGAAGCAACTCTTCCATCAAGAAATCGCGCAGGTAAACGTTTGTGACGCTGTATAGCATGCGAAGTGCGAAGTTACCCGGTTATGAGCGAATTAAAATGGAATTTCAGATACCCACATGATTTTGCGGTATTGGTCGAGACAGTACACCATATGTGCAAGTTGAATCTATATCGGTGACTAACTGACATATTCAACCGTTTTTATACCACTTTCTGATGGTGCACTTTATTTTACCTTCAGTTTTCGAACTAGGACGATCGCACACAATGTTATTGGGTTTTCGTTAAACGCCATTCACACCCCCATTAAAGGGGAAATCTCACGCTAAAGTTCTATCTTTTTAAAAAGCTAAAACATGTGTGTGTTCACATCAATTGAATTCCAAAAATGATGATCCAGTTTTGTTGCTTAAAACTCGATTTAGGCACTGAAACTGTTTCCTTTCTCTGTTTCTACGGATGGTAAGGATGGACATGGATTGAAACTTGAAAAAACAGGGCCAATCTTTTCAAGTTTTAATTCTTATATGCCTGCAAAAAGCGCCAGAAATATTATGGTTAGTGCTCACTGATAAAAATTTGTTTGATATCTTCTTCATAACTCTACAGGTCGCATTTTGTGTGTAGGTTGAGGCACCAAGTAATGACGGCAGCACAGAATTGACCTCAAACAGCAATATCCTCGTGACATAGGCCTTTAGTGTGCGTGACTGAAAATATGGAAATCAAAAAAGTTCTTGCTTGCGCAATTGAAGAATATCTATTTGTTTCAAACGAGCGTTTATGCTCCACTTGACTTAATTCAGTCAAGCTATGCTAAAGATTTTGGCATAACCATAACAATATTACAAATACCAACAAACAAAGGCGCAAGTGTGCTCTGCTATGACGGCGACTACTGTCGGACAACTTTATCCGCTCTGTTTAACTTTTATTGTGATTACAAAACTGTCTGATTAAGGAAACTGCAGAACGTGATCTTAACGAAAGCCCTGTGTTAGATTCCTTGTTCAAAATTGACAAATAATTAAGCTTGCATTGTAATTTTATTGTGCAGTGACACACTCTCAACTCAAATTTTGATTACGGAAGTAAACGAAGCAGAAATACATAATAATACACGTATGTCGAAAAGTCTAACTCGAATTTAAAACATTAGACAATAAACATCCGCTTGATATTTTAGCATGATAATTTCAATACCTGTGTTAGTGTCTGCATGTCCACTCCTTCCCCTACCGCGACCTCTTCCTTTGCCATAATTTGCTCGTCGATTCATACTTGGATTTTAAATCGGGCGACTGCAAACCAGTCCTATTGCGCACTTTGTTTCAATAAAAGCAACGTACAACTTTCTGGAGTATAAAAGAGTCCCTCATTTTCTTTTGAAAAAATTCCTAAAGCGAAAGTCAGTCATGTTTTTGAGCCCCCGGGTTTTTGACTGGTTCTCGGAAAAACAGGGAGTGCTTTCTAGAAGCAATCGCTGATGCATAAACTGGAGATGATTGGTCAATTAATAAAGGTAAAAGCAAACAAAAGTATACTGGAATGGAAAGGACTACCCTCAAATAGTAACGGAAAATTTAAAAATAATAAGCATTTCAAAAGAGTGTAAATAATTTGATGCATTTATAAAGCGAACGGTTTCAGCCTCATCCTTGCCTGGTGTCGCTACTATCGCTAACTAAAAGTTGAAGTTTAAAAACAATTCAAGCAGACTACAAGCACAAACGTTGCGGACTCTACTTTCTAGGATACACGACTCCACTGCCCAATACAATCTTTCTCTACTCGGTTTTCCGAGAAAAGAATTTCAACGAGACAAAAGACATTCTTCTTGGAATCAGAAGCAAGAGGGATTTAAACATTTTACGTAAGAGTTTCTTTGAAACACGACACCCAAACACTTCGATTGATAAAGGCAAACACCTCTGGTAACGACTTCCTGGGTGCAGCTGTCAGGTACGTCTGGACTGAGAGAGGAAGAAGGAGCTTTCTAAGAATCTGTTGGATCCTTGACAGGTATGAGACTGCTAACTAAAGTTTTAAAATATTTCCTTTACTTTTTGGAAATTTACAATAAATTTAAAGTCATGTATGCAAAGGGACTGAGCTTTTGATTTTTAGCGGGCGGGACGACTGTACACTATTAACTACGGGGTAAACCCGCCTCATTGTACACGGGGAAATGGATTTGAAAGCCTGAATAATAATTTTGGACAAGAAGCGTTTATATAATGAGGAACGGTAGTGTCATTTGTTGCGCCACTACTCTTCAAATTAAAGACGGGTTTCGAGGAGTCTAAATTAACAAATAAGACACTGTCAAGATAAGAGCATGAGTTTTCGAACTCCTGAACGTTTCTGTCCAATTCAGCTTCTTTGATTTGCGAAAAACAGACCTTGAGATTTAAACATTGTTCCATGTTGTTCAGTAACAGTATTCCACACAGGACTACGGACAAGGTGACTAATAGTGCAGCAACCGTTAAACTGAGAAAAGCGTCAGTTTATAGGATCATTCGTGATATATTTGTGTCTAACAGCTACCTAACGAAAACGTAATATTAAATGGACGAAATGCTCTTTTCTCTTTGAATATTTAATAGATGGGCAGTGAAGCGAGCGTTTACAATTTTTGTGATAAGGGCCTGATTTGTACTAGATATTCCCTGTATTTTTTTCTCTAAGCACCATGGGCAAGAAGAAAGGCAAAAAGAAATGGAATGCACACTACGATAAACACCTCGGGGAAAATAGCAATGATAAAGGTATGGCCCTAAAACAATTGGATGTTATATTTCATACAACAGCATTAATCAGTCTGTGTCAGGCGTTAAGGAACAAATTGTAATAGCTAACATTTATGACCAAAATGCAAAGACTAAGAAAGACTATTAGTAAAACATCCTATCACATGTTTCGTAACTGATTACAGAATCCAAAGAACCATCAGAACAAAACCAGGAAGGAAAAGAAGACCCATCGCCAACTGTAGGTGCCTGTGGAACTACAGCAGACGAAAAACAAGGTAATTGCAGGGGAATGCATGAGCAAACTGCAATTCTGCGAAGCTTCATTGAATAATTTAGGACAGCCTTCTCGCTGCAAATACGTAGAAATATCTGGCATCCCTGAGACAGAGGACGAAAACACGGAGGAAATTGCAACAAACGTAGGCTCGTTAATTGGCATACATATAACGGAAAGCGATTTATCCGTGATTGATCGACTACCTAAACAGTCCTACAGAGATGTAGTTAGGAAAGGATCTCAAGCTTCATCGAATTCGCGCTTAAGGGCTCCCAATATAGTTGTGAAATTTGTACGAAGAGAGCTGAGAGATCGCTTCTATAAAGCAATAAAATTTCTACGGGATAAGACAACAGAAGACCTGGATCTCGGATTACATTCGGGGAACAAGATATATATCTCAGAAAACCTTGCTCAAATCAACAAGGATCTAAGCTTAACCTTCTTAAACTTCAAGATCATATTAAGCTTCAAACTCTCTTTTTTATGCACCAATTTAATACTGGCAAACTACCAACGATCTTTGATTCGTTTTTTGT